CTTCTTCTGCACCTGGAACATGTAAAATTCATGCTGGTGGGTTTTATGTTTTGCAGTTTTATTCTCGCCAGCTTAGCAAGAACACTGGTGGACATAAGTGATTACATTTTGATAGTATTTCGGACTCGCGAAGTGAGGAGGCTTTGCCTCTAGCATAACTGGATAACATTTTTCGATAGTATTTATATAACGTACTTGATTGTTTTGGTTGATTATTTAGGCAGGTAACTTCAGATTTTTCTATAGTAATAATATGGTACATAGGTCCGCCTTCTTGCATATAACATAGACAGATAACGTTTATGTAATACACTTGATATCATTTTCGATAACATTTACATGATAACATAACCCGATAGCTAAATTAGATAGCATTAATCAATAAATAGCTCACACCTGCCTTCTCATATATATAGTCAAAGCTAACCCACTTTTTTCGCAACTTACAACATTTATGTGATATACTCTACGGAGTAGGATGCAAAGCATCTAACGTTCATATTGGTAGCATTAATCGATAGCATAACCAGCTATTGTAGATGCGTGTCATAAAAAGCAAAATGCACGTCACTCGAGTGTGGTCTAAAATGCAAAACGCACGTCATACTGGTGTATGTCTCAGCGGTTTTCAAGTGACGATACAAATGCAACCTATATAACACCGATATATAGACCTATAAACGTCTCATCTTTGACGAGGCAAACGCAAAACACACGTCACTCGAATGACGATGCGATTTCTATTGTGCCGAAAAAAAAACACCTCTGATATATATCAAAAATTGCTATCGATTTTAATAATTTTAGCGTGCTAAAACCCCGCAGACTGCAGGTGTTATTTTACCGAAATTGTGTCGTAAAAAACAAAATGCTCGTCATAGTTCCATTTTTACACCATTTTTACACCTGATTTTTGCTATCGAATTTAACGTTTTTAGCGCTAAAAATCCGCAGACTGAAGGTGTATAAAAAAACACCCCACCAAAAAAAAAGTCTGCTCGCACCCCCTGCTGCTTAGCTATTTATTGTAACGGAAACCGGACAGGATGGTATATGATATCAAATGATGCATAAATCGATCCATTAAAACTCATGATAAGAATAACTGGGCGCCATAACCTGAAATAACCACGATCGTCAAACTGATTATACCTTATATGGGGCGGACTGCAACAAAACCAGACAAAGTGAACATTCTACAAATGAGAGGCTGATTATGATATGGCGGTAAAATTGACCGGTGTGACTGATGACGGTTTGAAAAGTAATAATGGTGTTCATTCATAATTTACAGACTTGTTAATTTTAATGTTCACTTTATCATAGTATAATGAGAAGAAACTAAAAGTAATCAAACTAACGACATTTCATATACCTGTAATGGTCATTGGCATTTTTCGCACTGTTGTGATTGCATTAATGATATCATTGAAATAGGGCTCTGCATTCCCCTCTGGCTGCACATTCCCTTCAATCTTGGTAAAGTCACCAAATATAAACTGTTATCAACCATTTAGATAATGATAGTTGGAAGTTCTGAAATTTACCTGAACATCCTCATCAAGGTCCTAAAATATTGTTAAAGCCATTGTTAGTCATAATTACTGACGTCAAAAAAGCATTACATCCAATTGGCTTACTTCATTCAAAATATCAGAGACCATCCTGTGTTTGCATTTAGTATTAGGGGAGGGAGAGGGAGAGAAATTGGTGGAAGGTGCATTGGAATCAACTGTGTCTATGTCTAATTCTCACTTCTGTTTCCGAGTATTAGGATCTATTCAGATTAAATAAACAGTCTCTTACAGAAAATAAATTTTACATGTTTTGCTTGAATTAGGGAAGGTCGGACGTCTTGTCTTCTTTATCTTTCAAAACTATATAATAATAATAAAACATATTAGGTCAATATATTTTGCAAATGATGTTATCATAATACATTAACATACTGCTCTGTAGCCCTCACTACTTGCTCTCCCTTTTGTTTGTCTTATCATAAACAACACTCAACTCGATGGTTCTGTCATACATCTCCTATGGTAATGTATAAGCTTTTTTTTTAATAAATTGAAAATTTGTTAGCAACTTATCCAACTAACCTTTGCGTTTTGGATATCTTGGTCTTTTATAAAATTGCTGAACGTCAGGACGGTTCACGGCGTTTGGCAAAGAGATGATGCCTTCCTTCTCACAGATTTGGGACTTGTAGCATTGATCCTCATGTGATATAAAGGCGCAAAACAATAAAATTTATTAGAACTAGATCGAGCACAAGCATAAAATGGCTCGATGTAAACGCTGCTGGTAGAGAAAAGGAGGACGTGAGGCTCTAGGACGCAATCCACCACAAGGATGAACCACATCAAAGAGGGTATTCCCCGTAAACTATACCAAACATCAGCCGCAGGGGTCGCTAAGCATTGGCACTTGGCTCGGCCATACACGACTGTAGGCAGCATTACATCCAGTATACTAGACACGAAGCCGAAAGGCATAAGCCATACAAGCAATCCATCTTATAAGATGAACGACATGTACAGGGTAGCCTCTGTGCTTGGTCCAAACAACAGACGCAGGGGTCGCTAAGCATTGCACCTAGCTCGGCCATACACGGATGCCGGATACTGTGGGTCGCCAAATTTCATAAATTCTGATAACGTATACAGACCTAGTCGAATATCTGGAAGAAATAGGATCAAAATGTCAAAGTGAATTGGATTTGAAGACAAAAGTTAACAAAACAATAGAACGATAAGAAGGTCCGCAGTGTTCAAGATCACACGGCAACCGTAGGTAATTAACGATCTAATACTTACAAACTGCGTGCTTAATTAATAAAAGGCCAGTGTAGGGAAATTTTGTTCGTTTTTGTGCAGTAGCTGCTCTATTGTCGTTATTGTGAAGCAACGCCCCAAGATGCTCAGTAGCACCACAAAAAATGGCAGGTCATGCGTCTGTTATATAGACAAAGTTTAAAGATAAGATCGGCAACAGTTACCTAAAGATAAAGAGAACTACGCTACATTGAACTATCCAGACCTTACGCAAAAACAAGTTCATTATTGATGGACTCAACAAATTCAAGACATATATAAAAAGAATGATAATCAATTAATCTCTGCCCAAATTCTTTTAGAAGAGGCTCATCTTAACGTTTTGATGTATCATTATGAGTCTGAGTCTGAGTCTGATACCAAGTGTATTGGATTTTTAACAAGTTTTTTTGATAGTTTGAAAAACAATTGTGAAATGCTACATGTAAGTAAAAAATTTTTTAATTTATAAATATTTGAAGGCTGCTAATACATTATTCTTATAGATAAAACAAACGCATTAGGTTTCGAACTTTATGCTATCATCGGACAAATTAACGGAGCTGGCTATCCAATGGCTTATTTATTTCTTGGTACTGCTGCAAACACAACCGGAGCTCGGACATCAGCTCTTACTCAATTTTTTAGCACATTATATAACAATGGTTTGCAAAGTCCAGAGTTTTTCCTGACGGATAAGGATTGGGCGCAAATTAATGCCGCACAACAAATTTGGCCTACGACAAAAATTCAATTGTGTTATTGGCATTTATGAAGAGCTGTAAAAAAAAGACTTGCTGACAGCTCAGTCAACACAAATATTTATGATGCCGAATATGCTAACCGGGAAGTAAATTTTATCAATGTAAATTTTCATCCTTTTCGAAGAAACCAGAGCACAGGCATTCGTTCAAGTCAGAATTGTGATGTACGCTTTTGTCCGAGGGAACTTCGTGAAGCAGCTTTAGAAAATATATCATATCATTTTCATCTCCACCCGTTGCTACCAAACGACATCTGACAGAGAGCGAGATTTGGCTTCTATCTGTACGGGAAATGTACGAGTTTTGTGTTACAAATAATCTTAAAAATGTATGGGCATATATGTGGACGAACTGGTATGAAAAGCGACATTGGATTTTATGGGCCCGAGCAGCACATCCAGACAGAATAGGGCTGTTTAGAACCACTATGATAATCGAAGCACATTGGAAAGTAATAAAGAGAGACTTTCTGCCAAAATTTTTCCGACCCCGACTTGATTTGGTTGTATATGTCATTACAACGCGGCTTCTACCACACCACCAGCGACGATATTATCAATTGACATCCAAACGGGAGACAGCGGCATGGAGGAAGGATTTTAAAAAAGAGTGGAAAAATCTCTCAAATCGTGACAGCACTATAGCAAATCCACACGTCACGGGTGTTACGAAATGGGGTGTGTAGCTGTCGGGCTTTTTTGCTAAGTCGTTGGCCAATGTGTTATCATCTGATTTTGAGAGCTCCAAATTTAAGATCAAATGCAAGCTTTTTCACTGGGGTAGTTGCTACAGACAGGGACTCTGCCTTCCTTGACCTTCTAAAAATGCCAGCCAATCTTGATGGCAGAAGTATTGCTAATGCTCTCCCTGAAACAGCCATTGGCACCAAGTTCAGGCCTGATACAAATTTCATCCAAATTTTCTTTGAAAATGAATATTAATATGAAGCTGACACCTTTATTAAGAAAGGAACACTTGAAACTGGCAACTATGACATCCCCTCCTACCCCCTAATACTAAAGGGAAACTACCACCCCTGGTCCACATCAAACTCGATAACATACCAGTGAAGGGGAAAAACTTCCTCACTGAAAAAATCAAAGACATCATGGCTGAATACTGTTTCCCTCGTGAAATTGCTCCACTAACTATAAAAGGTACCAGACTTCTCACAACTAGATATAGATGGGAAATGCTTGTTGAAGCCATCCCAGGCAAAAACCTCAGTGAACACTCCCCCCCATCATTGAAATTGAGAACCAAAAAGTTCTTTTTAATACCAGAATGTGATGAATAGAAACTGTAACAGGATCAATATATTAATATTAATATAGAATTATCTCTATATAAAATTATAATATGGGGCATGCTGCAACAAAACCAGACAAAGTGAACATTCTATTATGTAACCTAAATGAGAAGCTGATGTGGCTGAAAGTTAACTAATTTGACTAATATTAATGATGTTTTGAAAGTAATTTGGTGCTCATTCATAACTTATGACTTGTTAATTTTAATGCTCACTTTATCATACCAGAATGTGATGAATATAAACCATAACAGGAGTAATATAGGATTATCCCTATATAAAATAATATATATGAAACTAATTTACATTAAATCCACCATGGAACCCAAGAATTACAGTACTATTCGAAGCATTTTAAAAAAAGCTCAAGGAGAAAAAATCGCTCTATACTAAGAGATAATGCATCAAAAGGTCAGTTCATTCGTTTAATCATAGAGGAACATAAAAAGAATGAGAAATACTATGTGTTAAGCTCCCTTCTGCACAATAATACAATGTGCTCCTCCTTGCACGAAAACCACTTGTTTCGTCAGCAAACAAAGCAGCACAACTTACCTGGCGTTTACAGGATGAGCGTTGGACATGAAGGGAGGGAGAAAAGTCTTGTGGCATGACGAATCAACATTTCCGAGTTCCAGCAAAGTTGATATAGCCGCGGGCCGCTAGATGAGCAATCATCTTCCTTTTCTGCTCGGCGACTGTGAAAAACAGTGCCCCAGCCAGATGCATTGAGGCTGTTTCTCGTAGAAAGGTGTGAGACCTATCGTTCTGATAGAAGGGTACGTGACAGACACTTCATACGTCGAAATCCTTCGCAATCATGCTACACCCACCTTTTGCCATGTTTCCGAAGAGGAAGGCAAGAAATTTCTCGAAGATCCGGAATGTATGTTCTTAGGTGGCTAGCGCAAACTCCCGATCTAAACCCCATAGAAAATTTATCAGCAATCATAAAATCAAGCGAGAGAAATCGCCAGCAAACCTTCGTAAGCTTGAAATGTATGTGCAGAACGCGCGGAGGGCGATTCCGATTACAACGATCAGGAATTTGATCTACAACTTGCAACACGGGGTGGCCCTACAAAGTATTAATGTACATGTATTAGTGAAAAACGTAGTCGATAACAAATGCAGATGGGCATTTTGGTGGGTTTGGTTCAAAAAATTGAAGTTTACAAAAGAAAGGGCAAAGCAAGCCGTGATATGGAGGTGGAGGCAGAGAGAAGGAAGTGGAGAGAGCGTAGTTTTATTAACAAGAAAACGCCAACTCTTTCGACGTGTTCCGGGACACTCGTCAACCGGCGAATAGCAGCACACCCCAAATCTTGCGAGGATGTGTGGTACGGCCGGGCTAGAAAGAGGTCCTCTTTTGTTAACTCTTCCGATGTGTTTCGGGACACTCATCAACCAGCGAATAGCAGAACACAAGTCTTGCAGATGTTTGGTACGGCCGGGCTAGAAAGAGGCGAGGAAAGGCTATAAAGACGAATGATTATCGAAAGAATTTTTTACGCATCTTATTATTATCACGTGATACACACGTATAAAGAAAAATACGCGTCGCTCGCCGCTAGTTTTCATTTTAATCTGGCACAATTATTATGTAAAACCGTTTTTTATAATAAAAAAACACCCCGCCATTACTTTTCGGGGGGACTGTACTATTACTATTACTGTTGCACATGAAGTTGGAAAAAAGTTCTTGGAGACTGCAAGAATTGAACCTAATACAATCTATGAATGCCTTGTGAGTCAAACACAAATATTATTTGATAATCTGGACCTATCAACCTTGCCACAGTCATGTACCAATAAATCTGAAGTTCAGAGGAAATTTGTACAATTCTTTGAATTATTACCAAAGGACCAAATTCAATGAAGTATCATGGACACATCCTCCTCAAACTGGCTGATTTTTTAATCATTGATGGATCCCAGGTTGTGTGGTTGCATTTTGTATCTGGAATTGAAATCAAATACTCCCTGACTGATATCCAAGCATGTGTTGGTTTGCAGTTAGCATATTAATATTCAGCAACATTTCCATTCCTTTTGTCTTCCTGGTAACACTGAGTTCCATTAATCCTGATCACTTGAATTGAATTCTTGGTCAGCACATATAAACTCTATATCTATACATTTATCACAAGCAACAGCCCCAATAATAATAATAAATGATCATTTAGGTTGTAATTCAAAGACAGTTTTAAATCAATCTACAAGTTGTCCAATTGCTCCATGATTATTAAGTCTGTCTTTTACTAACACAGAAATTGCTAAATCATTTGGTTCTGGCAGTAGCACTGTTGGTGATGTTATTCATGACAGAAAATATAGAGATGAGCTGTTGCTAATGTGATGATTAGTATGTGATATAGGAAAGAAAAGATAAATCATATGCAAAATGGTCAATTAGAATAACCTCAGCTTCAATAATAATAATCCCAAACCCCAGACTCACACAAAACCAACTCTGACTTATCACTCTTTGGAATGCCTTCCCCTCCCCAGCCATGATGACATCCTTAACCAACTGTTAGGGCATATTCTCTTCCTACACTCCTTTGACCTACAAGTAGATCCACTCACCCCCGGGTCCGTCACAGGCACTCATCCAATCTCTAAAAAACAAATTCTTTCAACAGGGTTAAAGTTCTGTGAGTTAAGAAAGTTTGTTAGTTTTCAGAGTGACAAAGGACATAGTATCCATCTGTATTGGTGTATACTTACCATATCACGCAGCTGCACCAAAAAGACGACCGGCCACGAAATGACTGAATAAAGCCGTCCATTCTCCCAAATTGTGATGGAGCAAATGTAATTGGTCGATTAGATGCCGGTGGATTCGTAAGAACGATCGCTCATCGAGTAAAGAAGTTTGACACTCAGGTGCCTCCAGTGATCATGGTCCAAGACCTGTGTGGACTACAGAGAACTCAATACCATTTCAATATAGTCCTTGGCTGTAATTTTTCCATTTAATCTTATTAACTCCCCCATTCTTATTCTCTTCGTACTGTAAATAGATAAAAACAGCCTAAACTGTTGCTTTAGTGAGCACCTTGTTGTGAATACAAGTTCTTCACAAAATAGGTATTTCTTTATTATTATTATTATTATCGCATCGAATCCGATGTATGTTTGTACGACCATAAAAATGCCGGAAAAATGTATCTGATATATTATTGACTATAATTAATAGTAAACCCATTCACTCTATTACTATCTTTTTATCAAGAGGATGACGACGGAATCACTCTCTGGTCTCGTCGAACAGCTTAGTAAAGAAATGAAAGAATGCATGAAAGAAATAGTTCCAAGAGTTCTCTTGGTGGAGACAACCAACACAGATAGTAGCACGGCTAATAGTGGCCCTATACATATACGCGAATATGTGGATGTGGACGAAGAGGAAAGAAAAGAATTGAACGCAGTTAGAATACGAACTAGTAATTTCCTACAAACGGCTAGAAAAATACAGGTGGCTCTTGAGGAAATAATAATATCCAAAAGAGATAAGAGTGAAGAAGAGACTTTGAAACAGGTTGAAAATTCTCTATTCGATCGTTAATGATGACTGTGAATATCTATTAATGTTAATAGAGCGTTCTTTATCTTTATATCAGGAGATTGCATGTCTGCAGCAAGATATCGAGAAGAAAAAGGCAACCATTCAGAAACACACAGCGCTAATGCTCCAATGGTCAGCCGAATTTGCTCAGCTAGAAGAGGAAGCCACAGCACCACTATAAATGTACGGTAAAGTTTGATATATTCATTGAATCATCCTTGCAATCATACTGCCATAACACTCTTTATTGCTTTCATATTAAGACAATTCAGGTAATGAGATTCCAACCGAGAACTGACTATTTTCAGCCGCTATATTTCTTCTATGAGTAGACGGAATCAAACCTACGACGAAACACCGTAATAAATTAAGTTTTACATAATTCGAAAAGAACGGCATAGCGAGTTCCTGAAAACTCACCGAGAGATCTAGCACGCCTGATTGCCAGAGCAACCTTTCGCTGATTTTTCATAGTCAGCCCTAGTTTGAGCAAGAGAGCAAATTACGAACAGAACGATTGTATGTTTCAATAAAGTTTGTCATTCTTCGGAATGAAAACATATAGACTATATACCTGTTCTTGATCTGGGTAGTATTTTCCCCATATCAGATACGAACGCTGACAACATTGTAAAGTTCTAGTATAAAAAAATTAACGCGTTATTAATGTCATTATCAAGAGCAACTTTTACCAAAAAGTTTGTTAACCTTATATTCTTTCAATGGATCCAAGCCCAATACATCAAAGACATCCTCAGAAAGTTTACGTCTTGCTGTACGATATCGACCCTGAGGTTGTTCTTCACTCAAACTTATTGGATCGTAAAGCTGTACAAATTAACAATAAGAGAGCGCTGTTAACATGTAAACGAAGAGACCACGTACAGAATGACGCACTTCTCAAATCAGTGCCATATAAGTTCTACATGCCTCTCCTGACTTGAAAAGACGTTTATGTTTAAGAGTTCCCTCAACTCCTTGTGACTGAGAATAACTAACTGTAAATGTATAAACGTAGCCACAGTTAGGTCTGAGTTGATACTCTACTAACAAAGCACAGTTTTATTCACCAGTCATCATGTTAGATTCTTTAAGAATCTTCAAAATGTGTTCGTGCGAATCGAACGATTTTTCTTGACTTTCATCTACAAAACCACATAGGTTGAGATAAGGCAATTGTGAAGAAAACTTTGAACAGTTCGACCTGTCAACACACTCTTTTCCTCTCCGCCGATCGTGATCCACCTTTTTTGCAAAATATCAGTAATTCTGGGTCCACTAGTGCGAAGCAACGCCCGCGATGCTAGTGGAGAATAGAGCATTTTTTTTAAAAAGATGGGATTACTGGCAGATCGTCATATATTTGCGCACGTGGTAACAATTGACCAAGTATATTAATATCAGTATACCTCTAGCTGTGACATGGTAAAGGTAACCTAATATTAATATAGCGATATTACATGACAAAAATGGCTCTCATCAGCTTTCACAAATTATTTTGTTCCCAGAATCAACAACTACAGTGTAAGTGGTGATTGGAATCGTCATTTACACCTTCTACAATAATGCTATGTTAACTCCCCTTATTATTACAGTATTATATGACATTATTGAGATTGATGGCAATGGTTTATTTTCGAATTATAATTGATCTTAATTACTGTGGAATTCGTATGAGATGGGGATGTTAATACTATATAAATGTTTTATATATAAAGACGTATCATCATATGAACTATAGTTGAATATACAGTTGAATCCTCTATAACGAACAATCTCTCAGAAGAACATTGGGACGAACCTGATTTATTAGTAATCTATAAGAAAACACCTCAACGATAGAACATAATTTGACTGTATTTTACCCTCTCAAAACCCTACCTTTAACCTTGGCACTTGCTGCGGGCCACTAAGTATTATTAGTATTAGGATATATATGCTGGAACACTCTTACACGGCGGCATTTCTATTTAGTTAATTTATCTTTGATTGCTGATAGTCAGAAAGGCAAGGTTGGATAATTCCAGATTGAGCGATTTACAGTCGTCCCCCCATATAGTTAGTCAGAGTGGTGACTATAAACTTTATAGTCAAATAAAATACCAAGTGATTATATTTTGTCACAGAATGAAATTATCTTATCATCCAATACTATGATTATGTAAGTAGTCAAAGATTCTCTGTACAAGCAGAAAAATAACTATCCAGCCGTTTTTGTTTCATTAATGCAAATTGTTCAATCCACAACTTATTTTGTGTCTTCGGAACATGAAATATACAAGTGTAATGTATCCAAAAAAGCGCAACGACAGTAAATCTTCCTATTTTTGTCAATGTGTGCATTAAATTTTACTCATTGAGCTAATTCAATGTTATTTATTTATTCGGTGGTGAGGAACTTTATTATAATTACTATTACTCGTTGCCCGCAAAGCGGTGATAGTCTAATTACTCCCTTATTGTTTTCTGAACCAGTTCCGTGCATCAAGTGCAAAGACGATGGGACTCGTTCGCGTTCGCCCTTCCCTTGCATTCAACTGGTATGTACAGATTTTCTTAACTTGTCCCCCTCCGAATGATTAAAGCAATCATCGAGACTCTCGGTTTTGGACAACAGATTAGATACTTGGTTCTCAATATTTACTTTTCAATAAAAAAGACAGCTAGCACGATATTATTCTAACTCACCATTGACATATTTAACTGGAAAAGAAGTAATTATAATTACAAGTTTTATTCGAAAAGCGTTTGTTACTAATCATGCTGTCAACGATGCTAATATTATAAGTTGACATATTTATATGAATAAAACCCAACTGCGTCTTATAACTGTCACTAAATTACCTTATTTTTCGTCAACTTCCTCTAATTCAATCTCTAGACTTGGCAAGCTGAAATCTGATAATGGAGGTAACTGACGAGAATCATGGCTGTTTCTTGGTTTAGGCAAATCTCCAGCAGGTAAGATCGTACTAGAATATTTACACTCCTTCTCGAGACGTGATAAGGGTTTTACATCATTATGATAAATGGCATTCCATATATAGTCATTATCATTTAACCCATTACAAAGCCTGTCAATATCCCTCGCAAGTGTATGTGCATCAGGACGCTTATCAGGATCAGCATCACAACACCACTCGGCACATTTCTTGTATTTCTCTGGTGCTGAATCAGGCATCGATGGTCGTAGTCCGCCCATGATATCACATACTAAGCCTCTATCAAACTGCCTATCTCTAAAAGGTGGTTCACCAGTAGCAATCAAATGCATAATGATACCAAAAGAATACACATCTGATTTTTGAGTAAACTTGCGGGTATGAAAGACCTCCGGTGCAATAAAGGGTAAAACACCTCGAATGGTTGAATTTGACTCGCGAGAATTCACTGATCGTGAAAGACCAAGATCGCATATATATAGCAATTTACCATTCAAAACAACATTTCCGCCATGAAGATCACAATGCACCAACCCCATACGATGAATATTGTTCAAATAATGTGCGATATCCCTCAAACACACTAATTTCTTTCTCCACGTCAATTTGTTAATATTTTGATCCAAATAAGACAAAAGACTACCATTGTTAGCATATTGCATAACAGTCATGTACTCTTTTGTTTCTGGGTCTTGTGTGATTCCATAGAGGCGAAGGAAGGAAGAATACCTATGACTCGCGCACTTGGCATGATTTCTGAACTATCAAATGTAAATACAAAGTCAGATTAAATAAAACTTTGATTAGTATTAACATTATTGCTTACCTCGGAAATAAATAGTTCCGGAGTTTCATCAAAGTCATGAAAGCGTTTGAGTACAACAGTTTGCGGCATATGTTCTACTTTTGAATAATTTTCATATTTCGCAGTATAGACAGTTCCGTAACCACCAGCGCCGATCTCTTTGAGTTCATAAAAGTCACTATACTGCATGTACTTTACACATTTATAATTTCGCATCAACTTGTCCAATAATGCATGTACATCGTAGTAGAAAACCAAATAATAATCCCGAGTAGATAAAACTTGAGTGATCCCGACTATCCAAACGTTCTCGGGTGTTAATATTTCGGGGTATTCCTCAGTTAGCTATTTGAGTAAACAAATCAGTCATTGTAATTTAAACGCGCGATTTCACATTTATCACTTACATTGTTTACACGTACCTGATAAAAATCACCAATTATCTTTTTGAGCATCACTCTCGTCGATCCATTCATCATCATATCCGCTATATGTGTGCATCCATGGCGCAATGAGGTCATCTCTTGCATGTTTGTCAATAACGAGCATTCGATCCATTGTATATACGCATCGTATTCATTCCTTGTATTCTTCCACGACTCCATAACAAACGAGTCCAAAGACTTGTTGCCCGTAGTCCAATCTCGTAGTCTTGGCGTTCCACAATGATAACAAAAGAGATTTATCTTGGGGCTTAATGAACCTGTACACGCCAGACATAATCCATTCTCACGTTTTATGAGACAATACGTTTGTTTGCTTGTAACATATGTGAATCCGATGGTAACCCAGACATCCGTGGTAAGAATATCTGGATGCTTATCACATAGCTAGTGGGAATGACATTATAACAAGTTAATTATTATTTAAACTGTTCAATAAACATGACGCATACGTAAATAGTTTACCTCGGCATAATCTAAATCTTGTGTCTCGTCTGTTATTTCAAGTGGAATCAAATTAACGTATCGAGTAGGTAGACCATGCAAATACATGCCATATGCCTCATCAATATAATCAAATGGAATCCATTCCAAGTAGACATCATTTGCAGAGTTTGTTTGTAACTGAGATGTCTTAATAAACTCATCGAGTTTCTTATTGCTGCTAGTCCATCCATCGGATAATTGTTTATGACCGCAAATACACCACACAGGACTGCAGCGGAGTATTCCACATGCGGTGCAGAATCCGTATCGAGAGTAACAATAGTAAAACTGCCTTTTAGCAACCAGATAATAACTACCGTCATGCTTGGTGAACCCGTTTATGAGTCTATTGCGCTTCTTAAGCCAGGTGGAATATCGTCTAAATAGACTGTCAGCATTACTGTACTTGTGTGTTGGAAGTGAGTATACTCTGGAAAACTCACTCACAAGTGTCGGTGTACATTCTTCACTACCTCCAAGTAACAGCAACATTACTATCGTTATATCAGCTCTATCAGCATCCAGCGTTCGTTTGCGATTAGCATAGTAAACATTGTCAATTTGAGTTGGCTTTATGCCGGTAATTTGCGAGTAAGGAATCCATTCAAGGTTATGTTCACTTCCCATAGAGGATTGAATCAAGTCATCAATTGCTTTATGTTGAATATCCTTGACTAACGACATGGTTTGAATAAAAGCACAATCTTTTGGAGAACTCTCGGAAAGACGTTTACATGTTACATCACACGGATTAGGATCCAAGTTGTACAGAATGTAAAAGATATCCTTCGTGCAAATTAATTACTAAGATAATTATAAAATTTGTTGGCTTTATTTAGCAGAATTTAGCATAATTATAATTTAAAGATCCACCCCCTGTCACATCCACCAATTGTATCTGCTTGTGCGACGTAGATCTTTTCATTTATCCTTTGAGTTTTTAATAGTATATTACTTATTACTTATAGCTTATGCTTAGGCTATTCGTAAACTTACGGACAAAGGTTGTTTATATAGCAATTTGTTTGCATTGTTTATGGATGCAAAAAATACTAATACGACTAATTTCCGCTGTTTTATACGGTCACACAAACGATTCATATCACAGCTTTAGCGGTCCACGTAGCTGTGCTGAATAAAGGGCCCACCAAAACAACGATTCATATCAAGATATCAAAAGAAAAAAACGATTAATTTGTACCATAATTGAAGTCAGTACTGCATATCATTAACTCGTACATGTTTCTTAACCAAATTTGTTTCCTGCATCTTATTACACACACGGAATAGTGCCAATTTATATTATCTGCCATTTACAAATACGAGTGTCCACATTCTACTACACATTAAAAAATTTATTTCTCGCAATATACTAGATATCTTCTTCCTTACCGATTATAACAATTCATTTGATTTAAATACACCATTTTACCCTGACGTTTTTCAACAAACGTTACCACACGCACATACAAAATCAATTTCTGAATTTCTGCATGGAAACCTTCTCGCCGCCTTCAAAAAAGGCCTTTTCAATTATGCGATAACCACTACAATCAATTTCTTTACCTTTCTTGCGTGTATTATGGCCAACTTATATATCCAGAAAAAAGCTACCTGCGTTACATAGGAAAAATTGTCAACATACGCTTTATTCCAATTATATCCTCTAAGTCAATAGAAAAATCGCTCAGATCCTAGTGCAACAAACAAACTACCGACTTGTCATTGCAATCGATATGCCAGTCGTTCGAAAATTGTACAGAGTGCTACTTCCAAATTGAGGCACTTACCCAAAGTAGCCCAACAATTTTGTTTGCGGGCCTAATAAGCCCGTACAAAAGAAATGTTTATTTAGCATTGACCACTGAAATAAGCTTTTAATTATTCTACCACATACAATGTCAATCGTTCAAAACAATCTTGGTCGTATACGTCAGCTATTCTGACAACTGTACAAACCGCTTCCACAATATCGATTCAAGACATTACCAAAAATAGGGTATGTCTGGAGCGGAGCAGATTCCTCGCAATTTCATTGGTCAAATTTGTATGGCAGCCAATAAACTGCAAATACAGGATCACGTTCTGCTCCGCTTTAGCCTTTTCCCAAAAATAATCCAATAAACAGTTTGCACTTGATTAACACAATAATATAGGATTCAAACACACGTCTTCTGAATCATACAATTTCGGCGCTCGTATTAAAGCTGAGAGCGCGATAGAGTGTACAACAATATGATTTACTATACCCAAAAACACTTCACCCCGAAACATATACAAAAACTTCTACCAACATTGAAACCACATCTCATTGATTCCACCACATCCGAATTATTTACAGTTTCAACGTGAAGTAGTCCTTGGGGAAATAACACCCACGTCGAAGCAATTGAAAAACCATCGCCAAGCAATAATCGCAATACATCCAGATCCAGGCAAACAACTCTGCGAGATTTACGTTAATTTGCGGAAAGTAATTGTTTAATTATTTATTGGGGAAACATTTGTCAGTGCATATAATTTCTCTTCCAAACTTAATACATTTGTGTTTTTATTGCCTTTCGCTTTTTCTCTTCTTTTTTTCTTTTTTCTCAATAATCAATATCCTTTACCATACTATACTGTAGGTTCCTAACGTATATAACTCTAAAAAAGCATCGTCTGATAATTGCTCTAATATGTACGTAGCCTCTAATTATATGCTTCTTTACTATTTGCGTTGTTGTTCGGAAATATCTTATCATTAATGTTAACATTTTGCCAATGTGACTTCTTCTTTCTGATTACCACGTATATAGACCATGGTCTTGCCTAAGAACGCGGCATAAAAGTCATCACCACGGTCGTAAGTGTCACGAATCTTGTTTTATTAGTAAATTTCAAGGAGTGACCAATACTTTTGATCACCCACTCTTATTAATCATACGATTTTAATCATACAGTACTTGGAATTTTTAGCTTCTGCTTTCTATACGTGGTCTGAGAAATATTATTCTAAGCTTAATACAAAGATAAGTCATCATATTGACTTACAGAACATAATAGCAGTTCCAGAACTCTGAATGTTCTTCTTAGTATTAGTGAATAGGTGGTGAGACTAGTACTAGGGCATACTTGTGAGTGAAAAGTCATAGAGCAATGTGAGCTTAAAGAGTTATGATAACTTATGGTAGCATTTGGTAGCAGTACAAATACTTATTGAAGAAATTTTAGGGACATTTGACGGGATTTACATACAACATATACATACTTTACATCATTTTCTGTTGTAAAACCTCTTTGTTCTAAGAGCCTTTTAACTACATCAAGTGCCTGTCTTCCTATCTGCATTGAAATAATTATTTCCTCCTCATGCTTGAGTCTTCTTCAATGTGTTGCTGCAGAATGCCTTTAGTCTACTAAGAGTAGTGTAATTGTATTAGTATGTTAATATGTTATCATTTGTATTAACATTACATTGTCATTCAAATCTACATTGCTTGAGTAGATGGAAAGCCAAACTATTTATATTAACTATTTGTGATCCTCTTTTCTCCATACTAATTTCGACATGCTCCCCATTTAAGACATTTACTTAAGCAGCTTGCTCTTTTGAGAATAAACTTGGCCAAGTGTTAAGGAGATCTAGGATCCAAGGTATCTTGTCAACTATTTAATATTAATATTAAGTGAAAAGAGTTTTAATCATATTCAAAATGTTGGACATTCAAATATAATAATAATTTAAATTGTAGATAGTGTAATACAGTTGCAAGAAATAGTTGTATATGTAATGTTGCACCAGTAAATAAATGCAGAGTAATTATTGTAAAATGGGGTTAAAGGTTGCAAAATTATGATTATTGGATAAAAAAAATAGTATTTGCTATAAGAGAAAAATAAAGCAGTTACAATACTATCAAGAATGACATTGTACATGTCATATGTAAATCCCGTCGCCATGTAAATCCCGGATTTACATATGTAAATGCGGTTTTGGGGTTCTTGACGGAATTTACGTACGACATTCATCTATTTATTTTGGGGTCCTTGACGGGATTTACATGGTGACGGGATTTACATACAACATACACATAAAAACTAATTAAATTCTTAGTGTAGATGCCTAAATTATGCAATTTTCAAAAATGAGTTTATTACAATAAAATTGTAAAACAAAGAACAAAGTTAATAGAGCAATTTTGTCTTTATATCTTTCTTACTTCTTGTCATCAACCTCCCCTAACTCTAAGTCTAACTCTATACTGATATCTAAACTTGGCAAGTTAGAAAGTAACTGATTAGTATTACTACTTAGTTTAAATAGATCTCTAGTAGGTAAGGGTTTACTAGAATATTTACTTTCCTTCTCAAAATAAGATAGTGGCTTTACATCATTATGATAAATGTTGTTCCACATGTTGTTGTCAGAATTATCCTCAAGTGCCTTCACAATAGACTTGTTAATATCAATACAAAGTTCACCAATACTTGGACGCTTGTCAGGGTCCACATCACAACAACACTGAGCAAGTTTCTTGTATTCACATGGTGTTGAATCAGGCATTGGTGGTCGCAGGCCATCTATAATCTCACGTATCAAAGTTATATCAAACTCCCTATCCCTGAATGGTGGCTCACCATTGGCTGTCAAATGCATAATAATACCAAATGCATATATATCTGACTTCTGAGTAAATTTGCCAGTATGAAAGACTTCTGGTGCAATAAATGGTAAAACACCTCGAATGGTTGACTCAAGTGAATTTACTGATTGGGAGAGGCCAAGATCACATATGAATGTACGAGAAGCTCTTTCTTCATGCAAGACTATGTTTCCACCATGAAGATCACAATGTACTAGCCCTGCATCATGAATACCCTTCAGATACCATGTAATATCATCCAAATGTTTTAATTTCCTTATCCATGTCAGATTATTGATATTTTGATCCAAATAAGTCAAAAGATTACCCTTGTTAGCATACTGCATAACAATTATGTACTCTTCTGTCTCTGGATCTTGTGTGACTCCATAAATTTTGAGAAACAAATAACTACTGTTAAAGCACTTGGCATGATTTCTGAGCTAATAGTAATAATAATAATAACAATATACAGTCACATTAATATTAATTAAATTTTCAATTGATAATATCAGAACAGACTCACCTCAGAAACAAATAACTCCCATGTCCGATCGAAACACTTGAAACGTTTGAGGACAACTATTTCTTGCATATCCTTTACGTCTGAATACTTTTTATATTTAGCAGTATAGACTGTTCCATAACCACCAACTCCAATCTCTTTAATTTCATCAAAGTCTGCATACTGATACTGCACCATATCATATTTGTAACATTGTACAATTTTGTCCAACAATGGTCGTATTTCATTGTGAAAAACTAAGTAATATTTTGTAGTAGATGGCTTTTGAGTAATTCCGATTATCCAAATATTGTCTCGTGTTAATATCTCTGGGTATTCATTAATTAGCTATTTAAGTAAACCATACAATTATCACAATGATTAATACAAAATATTTAATGTTACTTGCATTATCTCAACGTGAAATAATTTACCTGATAAAAATCAGCTGACTGAGCATCACCTATCTGTTTAAGCATCACTCGTGTCAATTCATTTGTTACCGGATCTAACCATTTCGCTGTAAGTGTTCTTTGTCGTATATCTGTCAATAAAGAATACTCTATCCATTGAATATAGGCATCATCGCTATTCACCACGTTATTCCATGATTCCATAATGAACGAATCTAATAACTTGTTGCCCGTAGTCCAATTGAGAGGTACTGACGCTTTACATCGATAACAGAATGCAGTTATCTCAGGATCTAATTGATCTGTACACGCCAGACATAATGCAATCTCATTACGTTGTGTTATTAAGAAATACTTTTGTTCGTTTGCATCGTATGTAAATCCGATAGTAACCCAAACATGTTTCATAAGAATATCTGGATGCATGTCACATAACTAGCGAAACAATGTATAATTAATATTCAATAAAAATAATGCATAATAATTCATGATTGAAGTCTACCTTGTTATAATATGTATCATCCGTCCCATCTGTAATCTCAAGTGAAGTCAATTTGACACGCTTATTATAAGTAGTTGGTAGGTCATGCAAGTAAAAGTCATATTCCCCATCAACAATACAATCAAATGGAATCCATTCCAAATAGGCATCGTTTGCAGAGTTTGTTTGTAATTGACTTTTCTTAATAAACACGTCGAGTTGCTTATTGTTGCTAGTCCATCCATCGGATAGTTGTTTATGACCGCAAATGCACCATACGGGACTACATCGGAGTATACCGCATTTAGAACAAAATCCATATCGAGAGTAACAGTGATAAAAGAATCTATCAGCAACCATGTAATAGTTGTCGTCATACTCAGTAAATCCATATATCATATTGTTGCGATAATTAAGCCATGCTTCGTATCTTCTAAACTGATTAACGTCACTGTTGTACTTGCGTGTGGGAAGTGAGTATACTCTAGCAAATTCACTCATAAGTGTTTGTGCACATTGTCCACTATTTCCAAGGCATACCAGCACTATCGTTTCCTCATTCTTCGTTGCATAGTAGACATTATCAATCTGAGTTGGCCTTATGTCAGTGATTTGCTCGCAAGAAATCTGCTCAAGTTCTTTAGCAAAGTAGGATTGAACCAATTTAACAATTGCTGGACTATGCATATTGTTGCTTATGTTAAGTAGCTCTATTGTGTGGAGAATTTAATAAGTGTCTCTACGATAGTGTTTAAACGATAGTGTGGAGAATTTAACCGACGTTACACATGCCGATATGTTACACGCCGAAATACGTACAAATTGAACTCGGGAACTTATCAGAACATTACACGACAACTCTCCCCTGAACTTCCGGTGCTTGTCCAGCACAATATGATCCTTCCTGACAAATGGGGAGAACTTTGAGTGCAAAGCAAGACAAGAAATAGGACGAACGTCATAAAATATATGGAGTAGAATAGTTGGGCCCGTACCTTGATGACCTTTGCATTTGCTGCAGTTCTTGTATCTCGTCATTGAAAGAGTATGAGTTGCTTGTTGGGTGTAAGTACAAAGATAGTCTTTGCGTAATTATTCTTCCAAATTGTTAGAGTTTCTCTCTATAATCCATTACTGACCTGTTTAGGGGTCCGGCTTGCTGCCGTCAAAACCCAACGAATATCTACTACTACGAGACAACTGAAATATCTTGCTCAACATTTCTGCTCTAGTACTGGGGTGAAGTTCTCGTTTAATTGAAATCGTAACCCAGTCGATAGACTTGTCCAACTACAATGGATTATGTAACAGGAATATTGTCGACGCGAGAAAATGAGAGATTGAATTGAACTTCGAAGATGTAAACCGATGCTTGATTCCGTTGTCAATAGAGATATTGGAACTAATTCGGGATCAACTTGTCACATCGAATGGCTGATGTCAAGCAATATTAATAGCATTTAGTGTTGTGCCTAGGCACCCCGTAGCTGCCGTATTCCCGCGTGGTGCTTTTTGCATTGGTGAGAATATTTTTATGATAATAGTCGAGGATATAACTGTGGTCTGTTGGTGAAATGCAGCAAACAGAATATAGCTGAGACGAAGGTGAGGATCTGCGAAATGCACAAGAGTCAAAGACGAAAAAGAATAAGTTAAAACGCAAACCTTTTTTATCAAGCTTAACGTATACTCTCAATGTTTAGCGAGAGCATAATAATAATAATTTGGTGATCATAACTGGACACATAAAAAAATTATGTCCGAAGATCTAGCTCAGCACCGAATAAACGGCTGCTCGCATACAGTACGATATTACACATGAAACAAAGCTTTTTCGGACTGTTCATAATCTCTTTACAACAGTTTTGCGAGGTATGTGTTAATGTTAATTAGCAGAAGCTACACAACTTGAAGCAATGATAAACAGTCAGTGTAGTGCTGCCATAATTGTAAAAATTATATTCGCTTCCATTCATTTGTAGAACAAAATAACCATTTCGGAATTGCTTTTCAAAGATCACTAACGATGCAGTCAAATAAACTTCAACTTTCACGATTCACTTGTTTATTACTTCAAACCCATTTATTCCGCACTTAGTACTCCATTCATTCACAAATTGCATTATTTAATACTCAAACTTTACGTTGAATTGCCGATGAAAAGCGACTCGTGTTTTATACACATATTCTTCTCTGAGACACAAAATTTGATATTGGCCGTATGTAGTTCTGCTATTCTACATAACGCTGTCACCGTAATAAGATGCAATCAATTCAATTTCATTTATTTACCACATACTTTCTCTCTCAAAACTATGTAAAGCCGTTTCAAGGAAAGTTGAACAGTATCCAAATGCATAATGAATAGTAATAATTATTGTTCGACGCATCAATCAAATAATTCAATTAGTCAAGCAACGAGAACAAAAGACAACTGTCATTAGTCTACGATTATGAGAAGAACTATTTATAACTCTAGTTAATCAAATTAAACATGAACAAGATGTTAAAATTATCATTATGTTGATATTATTAGTACGTTCTTTATGTTACATGAAAAACCAAATACTTTCTAAACATAAGTTTCCCAGTCTGTGAATAAATTAAGTCTAAAAATTAATTAGCAACTAAAATTACAGTTTAAGAGGGCAGCATTAACAATAATTGGGACTTGTCCCAGTTAATACTATATAATATTGCACTATATCTACTAGTGATGTGTGGTACTCTCAGAATTTGCTTCCAGCTTTCCCAATCATGAATAGCTATTTTAATACTTATTATATCAGTTGGTAATTTTTTCCATCATATTATCAGTTTCCTTGCCTTTGCCTTTATCGATGTTACTTTCTTCGTCACGTTCATTAAGAATATCTTCGTTGTCCTCGTAATCATCATCGTCGTCGCCATTGTCGTCGTCATCTCCAGGTATGGTATGGATACCTATACTTTGCTCATTGTCACGATGAGTAGTATACTCATAAAAATCTGAATTTTTTGTAAAACGGCGTAAAGTTAGAAAACGTATTGCTAAGGCGTTGTTGTAAAGACTGTCTGCGATTGCTTGGATCCTGGGAAAAAAATTCAGAGCGTGTTTTTGGCACTTGAATTTGTATACGACTACCCATCGAGTGACGGTTGTATATTACGAATGGTATGTTGATGTCCTTGACCGCTCTTTTGTTAAGAATATTATTCACATGCTTAAGTAAACAGAAAACAAAATAAGTATATCAAGCAAATTTCGTAGAAGTTAAGCGTCAAAAACTTAGTAAACATCTTACCTCTTTTTCAACACGGAAAAAATTCCACTGAAAACGGCTAAAGTTTACGTTTAAAGTAAAGTATGAGAAATTTCAGAACAATATAACAGCATTCAATGATTAATAAATTAGTGTGATTATTCCTTAGTTTAACTACACATACCGCATCATCTCCATGAACGCTAAGCCGCCGCCTAATAATTTACTATTAAAGAATGCTACGAATATCCACGAAAATCTCATCACAATATTTGAGATTATCGCAAAGTAGTACACCCATTTACGTTTATATTCCAAATCTTCTCGAAGTCCGTAATTTGGTATGTACCAAACTTGGAGGAGAGCCCAATCCATAACCAAGTCCCAGAAGATTGCAATAATTACGTTAAATACGTGTATTATGTACCAAAAAACAAGTGATACTGTAATTGAAAATTATTAGCAAAAAATAACATAAACAACACTTACATTTTGCAAATCAAGCTTACCTTCAAGCCTCTTAGCATAAATTAACCAAAAAGGTATCACTGTGGTAATATATTTTAGTGCATTCACTGAATGAGGGTGTGCCTTTCCTGTCTTAACCCACCTTTGCAAGCACTGGAAAAAGCGCAATAAAGCAGGTACGCTGCCTATAAAGACAGCCCAGGGATTTGTATCTGATAAGCATTGCTCTGTTAAAGTTTTACATTATTAATATCAAGACGTCTAACTTTAAAAGTGTTTGGGTAATTAAATATAATATACAAAAACATTTCAGTGAATAAAATTTACCTCTATTCGTTGACGTTCCATCATTATTAATTGCGCACACAATCGTTCCAAGAAAAGAAAAGGTATATGATAAACTACATAATTCGTCTGCTATAAAAAAGTCACGAAATTCGACACCGTAGACAAACGGCAAACATATACGAAACTATTATACAAAAATTGTTAACGATATAAAGCACAAGATGTAATAACATGTGACTGTCTTGCTTTTCTTTGCTTGCTTACCATGGTAGTTATAAGCCATCTTCTAGCTTTATAATACATTATGGGAAATGGGCAAAAAAAAATTAAACCAAATATAAAAAAAAAGGCCAGAATATAATATGAAGGCAAAAAATCTGAAATGTAGTTGGCGAAGGATAAGTAAAAACAAATAGAAAATAAAAGAAAAACCAGTGAAGGCAGCTGTAAAACAGAGGCATAATAAAATCAGTTTGAATATAATACAGAATTGCATGTACAAATATAGAAATTCATATACTTACTTCCCAAAATTCCCGATAGTCTACATTATCTCTGATATCAAAATCAAAGACAAGTTTATAGTTTATCTTTAATTTTGACCATACTACCACATTTATTCCCACCAACAATGTTAGCATTATTGGCAGAAAAATACCCAAGTATATTTGAAGTAACAGATTCCAGTCGCAAAACTTGTAAAAAATCTGTTGCTCATCATCAGTTAATGAGTCAGAGTTCTTTAAAGAACAAGACTTTTCATCTGTATTTGTATCAACAAATTTAATCATATTTAAAGCTGAAATAAAAAGCGCAAAAAGCGCATCAAAAAATAAGTATTGATTGAGTGCATATTAAACATATAGTCATTACGCTTGATTATTAGAAATTCATACCTAGTTGTAAACCACGCAAGCACAAAGCGATTGCTAAACCAAGATATAACCCTACCCGCCATACGATAAAATCATATGACTGGATACGGAAAATAAAGATTAGCTCGCTAACTCGTAATGACACTCATGCATAATAACATAAATCTTGCCTTTCTAGCTCTATCTGGCATCCGTAAGGGTTCCATAGCATGCTTTCTCACACCACCTGCAAATGCAGTCACAAATAGCGACTATAATTTGTATTAACGCTCGCTTATATTGGATTATTCACACTGGGCTGCTGCAACCTAACGACGATTTAAAAACAATTACCTCGGTCTGTTTAAGCAAGTCATCGAGCGTTTTGGAATTGCAAAAGTTTGTTGCATTTACTTTGCGGATATAAATGTGACTGACTTTCCAGTTTGAATTCTAGTCATGCATACTGACTGAGTATTGAATAGGTGAAAGACTGGATAGAAATCAACCGAGTTACCTTGTCAAACTTTTTAAGTATTTTCTCAAACCCAGTTTTATTAAGTTGCTTTTAGTCAAGCAAAAATAATATATGTTAATAAATTTACTTTTGTTACTTTTTGCCGAACCGATAATACTCACGGCATATTTTTTTAGCATTAGCACTCCCCGATAAAATTCAAGTACTCCCATTTTTATTCTCCTCTTCGCTGCATTGTAACTCATAGGAACAGGTTTTCTTTGCCCTTCAGAAGTGATAACTCTGACTTCATGATCATGTTCGACTTCATACTTTTTGCTAGGGTGGTGATCCACGCCGTGATTCAAAATGTTTATCGGTTTAAATACGTTTGATCCGCTTTTCTTTTAATTGCCAAAGATTAAAATTGTTTGGTGAGAGCGTGTCATTTGGTATTGTTACACCGGTAAGACTTTTTTCCGGGAATAAAAGTAACGATGTTTTGCACGTCAACATTTAACTATTCCTGTAGTGTATACAAAGACTACGAGAATACCTTTATTTGCCATCACAACATAACTTACAATTACATTCTCTTTGTGCTCCTGCTTCAACAGCCTGTATGCTTTATTTAGTTCTTTTAATCTTTCCTTAGCATAGTCCTCATTATCTTGTGGTAATAGTAAAGAGTGAAAATATCATTAAACAGCGATGACAGATATGTAAAAAAAATAAGCAAACAATAACGTTGTAGAATATGACCTACTTTCGTAAAATTCCCATATCTTTAATAGCTCTTTATCCAAACTGGCGAAAAACTTTTGTTCATATTTGTTCATCTTTGGTACAATATCATCCATTGTCGCATCATCTTGTATAGAAAATTGATCTATTGAATAATATAAGTTTTCGTTAATATTTCAAATAAACAATGAGAATATAACATTGCGGCTGCGAGCCTTTATATTCACCAAATAAAGGAGGAGACTTGACATCTTCTTTGTGAGCCATATTGTAGTTGTATAGGTCTTCGCTCTTTTCAAATTCATGCAATTGCGCTACATCTTTGAGAATGTGTTTGAGCTCTTTATAGTTAATGTACACTTTTTTCCATTCCGGTACCGACTCTTGATCAAGTAATTTTGAGAATTTCATGTTAAACAACAGAACAAGTTACAGGAAACTCGTGGTGTTTTCTAATATATAATCTAGTCAATGTCCGTGGGAAGCAGAATTGATTTTAAAATAACGTAACGTTTTATTTTTTTTAAAAAAAAAAAAAAAAGAAAGAAAAGACACGCTTTTCACACGATATAGAGAAAAAAAAAGATTTTTTCCGAAGTTTTCTATTGCCGATTCGTACATTCTATTGTGAGTAAAATGCTTTTCATCTTAATTAACTGTATTCATTTCGGGGAAAAAATGGTATAAGTAATGGTTCGATGAGATGACGAAACTGTCACATTATTGGGTTACTTATTCGTAAAGTACTTACTCAACCCCGAAACAGTCCAAAAACTTATTCGACTTACATTGTACGAATGGAGTTTTTCGCATTTTTACCATTGATTGACAGATTCGGCAAATACTTTTTGGTAACGAGCGTGTGTAAATTGCATGTCAGATAATCCCATGATTTCATGTGATGGAAATCTTCGAAGTAGATCGCCACCATCACCATCATTTGGGCATAGTATCGGAAATGTGATGCTATATTTAATTATGATCGGCAAACTGGTAAGTAGCATGTGTTGCAAATGAGGTATTTTGAAGTACCTCCTCCCATATTCCGGCTTACGAGTATAACCTCAAATGTTGGAATATAGGCAATTCGACCACTTAATGACGAATATGTAACCAGCAGAGGTATCGTAAATGCTTGCTAGTTACGTGGTTGTTGTATATATAATTCACAGAATACCTATTAGTCAAACAAGCTATTTAATCGATGAGCTTGGTTTTAGTTTTGCTAACGTTCTTTGTCGTATATTACCTGCAGCAAATATAGCAAAACCTTTCTCAAGCTGACTTGCTGTCGTCATTGTGACTTACGTTCTGCTTTAACTAAAGTCTAGTCATATGCTTTAATAATTTTCGAACATGACGCTTAATGTTTGGCGAGTTAAACTTATAATAAAGTCTTTACAAACTCTTTCCCAATTTATTGTACCAATTTCACATACTGGCAAAATTTGTCTAAACGGGCGCCGATTTACAATACTTGGCTACTCAAATATACAGATGTAATCCACTTCCCGTTAAATTATTAGAACCATGTAGCATTGATACTTCATAACTTGTTACACAGCACTTTCAAATAGACGATATGAATAAATTTCCGGATGTTTTAGATGTCACGGCATGTATTAACTTTTTCTTCCAACGGTACTATCTTTGGAAATTCTTGAAATTAAACGACTTAGTCATATATAAGAGAAGCGGTATATGTTTGGTAATTGACGAAGATAGTTTTCCAAAAGCTTTTTCGACAAAAGGTGTTTTCCAGAACTGGTCGCAATTAGAAAAAGCGGCATAAATAAAGTGTTCGATGACGTCAGTTATAATTGTTGACGTGCTCAAATATAACAGCACGCATAAAAAGTTGTGCAACAACTTTGAACAAAGAACAGTGTTTATTTTTTTTCTATAAGACGTTGATCGTTTTTTAAACTGTCCAAAATTCCAGCAATTTATTGTTTGACTTAATTTATTATAAAATTGTAACAGGCGTTAACCAGCATTAATTGTAGAGAAAGCCTCATACTATAATAGTCCTAGGACACTGTTGAAGAATGCTTTATACACCCAAATCAATTTTAAACAAATTTAAGGATTCGGATTATCATTAAACGCTAAAAGATTGGGGCTTCCATTCACATTTTTGACAACACCTGATTGAGCAACGGAAAGAAGTTTTTCGCGTAGTTGCTGTGGTGTCAAGGTCGTGTTACTCAGAGAAAGAAAGTACGCTGCAAGACCAGCTACATGTGGACATGCCATAGAAGTGCCAGAAAGAACTTGTGTGTCTGTGTTTGACAAAATGCCAACCGACAAAACGTTTACGCCCTAACAGTAAGTTGATATTATGTTAGCATTTTGATAATTTTAGTTAATCGCAAAATCGTTCATTACTTACAGGAGCAAAGAGTTCCACACATTTACCAGAGTTTGAGAAAGATGCACGGGTATCAGTCTCAGCGTCTATAGCGGCAACTGAAATTACTTTCGAGGCACCAGAGGGTGATTGAGTACAGGCATCAGTATTGTCATTTCCTGCAGCCACAACCACAACCATTCCGGAATCAACAGCCTTAAATGCATAGAATGTTCTCAGTATAGTAACCATACGATAATTTTAAAATTTTACGTCTTTAACTTACCGAATCTACGGCACTATCGACAGCCAGACTTTTACCTCCTCCCAAACTTAAGTTAATAACTGATCCCTTAAACGCTTTTCCTGTTAATTGAGAAGCCTCGGCCGTATCTTTGTGATCGTTTACAGCGAATTGTATTCCATTAATAACATCGATGTTGCTACCCGAACCGTCAGCCGCAAGAACTTTAACAGCGATAAGATTGGCTTTTTTAGCAACGCCGAACGTCTTTCCAGCAATAGTGCCGGAAACATGAGATCCATGTCCCTGATCATCTGTATCTGGTGCACCAGCGACAATCGTCTTACCCACTCGAGCACGACCTTCAAATTCTTCGTGTTCAACCTTGATTCCAGTGTCGATTACATATACATTGGTATCCTTTCCAGCGGTCGAATCAAATTCATATGTGGTTTCTCCATCTAGTTTCTTATGCGATATGCGAACTAAGCCTGGTACAGCATTATCTTGTATTTGTATTTCGCTTGCGGAAACTTTTTGATTTGGTTCGATATACGCTACCTAAATAAAATAAATCAAAGCAGATTGTATAAGCATAAGAAAGACAAGCAGTTTACTTTTTCTCATTCGATTAACAAACAAAAATAAACCATTGCAAATTATAAATTTGGATATGTATTTAAAATAATACTTACGTCACTTCTCTGGTTAATTTTTTTAATACACGATTTAGAGAATGTGCCAGCATATCCTCGAAAGCTTCCGATATTGAATTTGCTGCTAATTCCATAAGTAGAGTTGTCTACAGCTCTTTTGTTTAGTCCGCCTTCAATACTTGACAGCATCTTATTAACATCATCATAATGATCAAAAACTTGTTTCTTGGTTAATTTTTTATTGAAAACGACAATGTATTGATCGGGTATTATTTCTTTCAAAGAACGGGATAAGAGCATAAGATGGTCATTTGAGCGTTCATTGGGATATGGCAGCGCTATGGCTGTTGCCAGAAACAACGTAATGAGGAAAATAATTTTGACCATTGCGTAAATCAGGATAAAACTACTCAGTAGCGATGATTATTTTTTGTACTGGCCGGCAGAAATGCAATAAACGAATGACGAAGACTCTAAAGGCAGTACCCAGCCTGCCAATTGTAAAAAATTTTCTAATCCAAGTTCACTTTGATCAAAACATTTGAGAAAAGTCGAACGATTTATATACAAAGTCAGATATAACCTGCTACAATCATATTTTTACATGCGTTTCGGATTTTGGTTTGTTTGTCATTTGTGAGATGAGCCGATCGAAAAATTCGTAGATTTCCAACTAATAAACCGATATAGGATTTGAATTCATTACTCATTACCTATAGTTGAAAATGAAAATGGGCAAGCAATAACTTATTACAGAAAGTTCGATTGTGCGCAAGGAGTTTATTCATTTGCTTTAGATTGTAGTTGCATAGATGAACGACACTTGCGGCTTCGTTTAACATGCACTCATTCATTGGACAACATTTTGGTTACAATCCCGTGACTTTTGACATAGGATATGTTGTGACACATTACATTCGGGAAGACAAACCTACTTTGTCTAGTACGATGTCTTACTGTTATGAAAACTAATAATACATGGTTTACGTTCCCAGTCTCTTTGTTAATATAATAAAAGATTTTATTGAGCTTTATTTACCACATTACCGGTAAAATGTCTAATTTCTTTCTTTCTTGTGTCTTTGCAGTTTTGATTGTAAACTAAACACAGATAACTAGGAGACGGATGTATCAACAGCCATCTACAATAAAGCATATTGTTTTATGGAACGTTATTTGAAGATGTGTAAAAGAGAAGAGGCAAGAATAACGTGCTAAACTCTTTATTAACCAGTAATGGTAATCAATGCTGTACATGCCGGCAGCGGAGAATTTGTTTATTTAGTTAGCCCTTTTTAGGATGTCTGATTTAATTGGCTGGATATCAATAATGACGCTTAATTTCTAAGCCATTCTATTTATTATTATCCATAATTACAGATTTGATTGTTGTCAAACAGTTCTGTTACGCTGATGCAAGCTTTTAACAAATGTGGACTATGAATCGAATGTTCTAGCGTCTACGTTTTGATATACAAATTAATTGCGGATAACAAATGAGACTGTACGGCTTTTACCTTATGCAAACTAATCCTACTGTTGTAGTCAAATAAGTTCGATAAATGATAACTAATTTTGCATTAGCATACATGAGTGCCATGGAAAAGTAAAGTTTTTTCGCTTATGGTGTCGGCAACAGCACAAGCCGTACACTCAAACGTTGGGAAGACTAAATATCAATGTTTTTTATGACGGAATTGGTTAATCAATGGAATTGCGTATCTAAATTATACACGTATGGCTTAGCTGTGTTCTATCTCAGTTGGAGACTATCCCAGTCACTCAGCCAGCAAACTAGTAGATACCTTTTATTTGTTCCCGTCATTCACTTTTCAGTTCACAGCTGCATTCTATCTTTTTTCCCGAAAAAGACTCCGTTTTCACTTGAATGCAATATACGTAGTATTGCGCATTTCGAATTTTCTAACTAAATGCATTACATCATGCATTTGTTAAACCTTACCCACAATAAGAATGCAAACAATATACTGAATATAAACAGTATTTAGGTACTCGGCACTAACCGAACCTCATCTGCTTGTGTTTTGATGTTACAATATGATAGTCGGTTACGTAATTTTGCTAAATTCATTGTTTAAATAATTCGAACCGGCTCTTACTATTTCACTAAAAAATGGTAATTTAAGCAATTGCAGTCATAGATTATAATACATGTTTCTAGAATTAGTTAAAGTTAATCTGTAAGTAGAATATTCTACAATTAGTCTATTAAATAAAATTTATGGTTAAAGGTATAATAGTGCCAATAATAAAAACCCATATTTAATAGCGTAACAAATTAATTTTATTTAATTTATGTAATAAAGACTATAAAATGTTATTTGCCCAAAAACTTAAACATTTACGTTTCCGATCGGTAGACATTGATAATAATTTTACGTTTATAACTAATATTTTTATTGGAGGACTTTAGTAAACGTACAATACCATTACGGAGTATCTATCACAATTATTACGAAAATTGCACAGTTGTAATTATTTAAGTTTATACGCTTTAGTATTGAATAGAAGACTACCGTAGTTTGAATTTCTTACCTTTCTAATTTTTAAATTAATACGTTATTATATTCTGTAAATTAGAATTAAATTAATAAACAAATTTTTGCTTTGACGCATAAATGAGTCTCGCTAATAATTTATTTTTTATAAAAATTAGCAAAATGTAGAAAACAACAATTACAAAAGAAAACTTAACCGTTATTGCATAACAGCTTCAACAGTTTGTCGTAACTTACTATTATAAATCATAATCGTGTGTGATACCTTGTCTCCACTTTGTATTAATATTTATTAGTCTGATTGTCGGCAGCCTACTGCTTATGGTTTGTAAAATTAATATAAAGACTGTTGGAAAAGGAGCATGGCCTAGTCCACTTTATATCCGGTAATTCGGTAGACTCATAATTAATTAGACTACTATTACAATAGTACAATAATTATTAACTGTTTATTACATTGCTAATTATTACCGTCATTAATATCAATATGAATATGTTGTATGTAAATTCCGTAACCATGAAATCAGGTAACGGCATTTACAATATGTAAATCCCGTCACATGTCCCCAAAATTTCTTACCAAGGTTCCTAAAATAAAAACCGCCTTTAACATGTTCAAAAACCATCGGTTAAGAACAAGTTGTATTTGTTATCGTTACCAAGC